TCTTGGCAGTAAACGCGTTTAGTGACATAACGTGCTCAATTACATAATAGATGGGAAAGACAAAGCGTATATTGTTAGGGTATTTTTCTTTGAAGGGCAGGCTCCAGGAGAAGCTTTGAGTGCCTCAATACTCCAACTTCAATAGAAGATAAAGATGCTTGACACTTTGCAAGATCATGCACCCCTAAGATTTTTTTTTTTTATTTTTAAATCAATAGTTCCACTTCAATAAACAATTTCAATCCAAATATTGGATAAAGCCAAGTCTGTTTCTTTTTTTAGAAAACAACTGACAAATAGGTAGCTCAATTTCAATACAGCTGAACYGATTTTTTAAACTACAGTTTCTTCCCCTGAATGACAAAGCATGAGGACAGGAGATATATGACAAAGAGGATCTGTAATGGAGTTTACAACCTTTCACCCRCCAGGTCTCTAGGTGCATTCTGGCCCAGGTTGATAAGTCATTAGCAGCTGGTAGGTATTTTATTATTCTGGGGCAAATGGAGTAGCCCCAAGTTTGTTGCAAATAGGTCTCCACACAGTCCCTGCTGCCGTATGAACTAGTAGAAGCTTCAGAAGAAGAAAGGCCAAAGAAACACTGAAATAGTCTCCACTACGTACATGTAGTGCCTTGGGATAGTCCTGACACATGCCAGTGCAGCAGTGTGGTGGAGACAATGCGGTCTGTATTTATGCACATATGTCTCTTCTCTGAATCAATAGAGGACATTGGTTTCCTGCTGTCAGTCTGGCRTGTATCAGTGATAATATACTTATACTAAATAAAGATAAAAAATAATGGACAGTATGCTGTAGTGTTTATTTCATTATAATAGGATCTAATGGGATGAATGCTTTCATTACACAGGAAARACAATGACAGGTATAATTCATTTAAAGCTCCACTTCTTATTTGTAAAACCACCACACAATAAGTACTATTTCACAAGGTCCAATCACTTTGGGCAAAATGATTGCAGCAGCACAGCAGCCAAGGAACACTCCAGTTGCAGCAGCAGAGGTGAGAGCCCTGGCGTWCAGAGCCGCTGTGCATCTCTCAGCGAGAGTCCTCTGCAGCATTGCCCTCACGAGGTTTGTGCTACCTGTACGAATGTTACTGAGATTAAACACTGCCGGGGAACTGGGGCATGAATTCCACTCCTGTCCCTCACCAGCAGTCCCACAGCTATTCATGGCTGATACCTGGCCTTTSTCAGTGCCCTTCCTTATTTCAACTGCCCCTAGGAGCAGGCAAGCCCTGAAACGAGAGATAGATCTTACACATAAACTCCAAACGAAGCTTTGCTTCACAACTGAAGAGCACACAGTGCAGGAGCRCACTTTGAGGCCACAGTGCACCAGGGAGAAAGATCAAGAATTCTTGTGTGCTTCAAACTGACCAACAGCAATATAAGCTGAGCAAATCTGAAGTCACAGTGAAGAAAAGCTGTCTAAAAACCCCCTGGGGAAAATAAAAAAGAAGCTGTCTAGAAATCATGGCCTATGTTTCAACTATACAGTGCAGACAGCAAGTAACAGAGGGTATTCACGGCACATTCTTTCCCTTTATTTCATCATTACAATGCTCCTTCACTTCTACCATACAGGGAAGGGCACCTCGCTGTAGGGGAAAATACCATCCTCAAAGATTGGTTTAAAATATCTCAGCTGAACCACTCCARTGTTCTCCGAGAGTAGGTATAAGCTACTATCAGGAGCCTTCTGCAGCACAAGCATTCCCTCCTCTCCCTTCACTGAGGGTAAAAGCTCAGAGAATCAATTCTCTGTGAAATCCTTCAGCTCCTTTTCCAGCTCTGAAGTGCTTTTGCAGAGGCACTGTGTGACGTCCTTTTAGACAGTCTGCACCCAGGCACAGCATTTGCCTGTTAAGCTGCATTTACCTTATCACAGAATAAAAGGCTGGGGGTTTTTCTGCCAGGAGTCAAGCCCTGCAAGATGTAGGCTGACTCTGGGCTCGACTTTCCACCAAGCCAAGAAGSCTGCTGATTCATGCCATCAGCTGCTCATCTGAGAGCCTGGGTACAGAAGGCTCGTGTCTGTGTRGATGTGCTGTTAGTGGCCAGGCAAGGACACGCTGCCTTCAAACACCCCTTCTTGAAACTCCTGCTGTGTTACCTGTACCAATTCTGTGGTGCCTGATGACAGGCCACATCCTCAGAAAATGTAAACACCAAAGTGCCACAKAGACTGACGTGTTCTCCACTACTTGGTTCTGAATGTTACCTCCAATTTMATTTTGCCCTGCAGGATGTAAAACAAGCGGGACCACCTCCCCGCTTATTGCATCTTATTTGTGTTCTGAGAGAAAGTATATAATTAAAGTAACCAAAGAAACTAAAACAAGAACTTTAATTTCTTTTGATTTCAACTACAGAAATGCAAGGTAGGAGGGAAAATCACTGGAAAGCTTTCACAGCCCAAATTCACATACCCCATGGCAAACCCTGCTTTCATATACACACAGAGCATTAATAAGCTGCAAAAAGAAGTAGGGTTTCAAGCAGGGAACAAAAAATAAATTTCATTCCCTGAGTGGGGTATTGTCACTGTCAGTGAAAGCAAGGTTTAGTTTAGTAATTGCAATCCCAAATGGCTGGTGTTTTAATGCAAGCATTGATAATTCTGCTGAAAACAGCTGCAGGGAAGCACAGTCAGGAGCAGCAAACACTTATGTGTGCCTGGAGATTTGAGCAGACCCAGCCTGGGCATGCAGGATCATGCAGAATGAATGAGCAAAGTAGTCCATGATGTCGGCCCATGGTGTAAACTCCCAACCATCAACAAGCCGGTGCAGGCTAAGCAGCATTTAACTTTGCTGCAGYTGCAGGTCTACTGCAAAATTCTATTTCCATGCATGGTTCACTTATAAAAACAAAACCTCCCCAAACCCTTGCAATTCAGCAATGGCATAAACATAACAAGAAAAAAGTTATCTTCTCCTCAACTTGAACCTCATCCTTATTTCTAACAATAGAAACAACCCCTACTCCCTGAAATCCTCTTTTCCAACAACCTATTTTTTTTTTCATGCTAACATCTCCACCTTGAGTTCTTCTGCCCTTTCTTACCTTGGTAAAGGCTTTGCCACAAAGGGCAGATCCTCAAAATGCAGAACAACCCACAAGATGTCACYTCCTTGGAATAAACAAAGAGCAGATAGCACACAAGACCCAGAAGTACAGCRCATACCCTACATTTCTCCAGACCTGGGTAAGGCACAGGTCATTCCCCACGACTGACTCGGTCTAGAACCAGAGGGCAATTTCATGAACTAGCTCTTCTGTTCTGTGCTTTCTACTGATTTTTATCTATCCACTGATTTACACAATGCCTTCATAATAGATATTAAAGCCACTCACAGGCATGTCTGTTGCAGAGACCAATTAATATTTAATATTAATGCACCCAGTTAATTCCCTAGGATTCCTGGAAAACTCTCTTCCAGTCTTGAGCTCTCCCAGGAGGCAACTAATATTAGATTTATACCCAAACTCTTACCAATTGGCTTTGATGAATGTCAGTTGGTAAGGCTGACCACAAATCATCTCTCACAAATGCAGAAGCACATCGAGGAACTCTTTGCAGCCAGAAGTGTAATAATAGTCAACAAATACACTAGTGACACAACATTTTAAGTCTATGCATCATCTGTAGTAGGCTAAAAGATCTCATATATCTCAGAGGTTTCCAGATTTTCCTAAAATAAATTTTGTCTACTTCACAGAGACAGCTATTAAGAATGAAAATTTATTCTGGAAACATTAGTGAAAATGAAATGGGAGAAACAATCCAAATCACATTTGGCCTACTAATTCATAAAACGCATCCCAAAAGTAAAAGATTCTTGTAAGTAAAGTGGGACTAGAATTTCCACATAATTTGGAAATTTATGCACTGAAGTTACTTCATTCCTATTAGTGACCACAGTGCAGAAAGAAAGAACAGCAAACAAGCCACAGTTTTGYAAGCCTCCAAAAGTAATTGAAAATGCTTCCAAGCACACATATTTTTGTGCCTCAAATCAAATATATTAAGTACATCAGCTAGAAATTTGGTTTGTTTTTATTTTGAAGCCATCTGGAGTAGTTTAAGACATACTATACRCAATAATGCAGATTTTGAGATTCATTACTAATCTCCTGAGGTTATACTAAAGGATCAGAAGGGAAGGAGTAAGTTGCATTTGTATATTTTAAACAACCACAGAGGCTCATCTTTGGTTTTGAACATTCTTCACGGACTAAAACTACCAAATGTGTTTTTTACCCTTGACTCAGAAGTGTCACTTCTGGAAATGTGCAATATTTGTCACCATGAATACCATTTAACTGCAGCAGTACCCGAAGGAACTCTGTACCACCACACGTGAATACAACTGGAGGAACTTAATTAATCTTCCTGTCACTTCCATGATGCTTTTCATTAGTTTAGCTGCTATCTGATCAACTGCTCCATTCTCTATTGGAAATGGCTAACCAGAACCTCCTATAAAAGCGTTTTCAAGAGGTAAACAGACTCACTTTTGATTCTGAGAGCCTTTACAAATCTTTGGCAAGCAGACTTTATCAGTTTAGTAACAGTACTTACAGCACTGCTCTTTTTAAGCGACTGGGATTTTCTACATACACTGCTTAGGAAATATAAAAATAGAACAATGTGAATTTTTCTAAGCTTAAAGCTACAACTTCTGGTATTTTGCAATTTGAACACAGATGTTATGTGGCAATTGAAAACTCACATTTTTTTTCTGAATATTCTTGCCATAGATATGGATAGTTGTTAAACAATCAGAATGTAGCCAACACAAAATAA